TGGTGGAGTTCGATGGTTTGGGTGATCGAAAAGTGGTGGAATGGGGCTCCTTAGGTGGCTACTGAAAATGGGTGAAAATGAAGAAGAAAGAAGAAGGTGAAATGAAAGAAGTTGGGAAAATAATTTGATATAAATTGAAGGACAACTTTGTCATTTTACCTTTAAAACATTTTATTTATTTTTTATTCTATTTCAATGTTGGTCAAATGCCATTTTTCCAAAATCATTGTTTAGTGGGGTTATTTGGCCAAATTTTCCAATACATATAATGGCTCCATTCCCCTTTTCTTCAAGGGCATTACATTCTGCCCGTGGATTAAGTAGGTTAAGCGAGCCCTCAAATTTAAATTTACATTTTTTTCGTATTTTCTTGTTAAAAATTATGTTGATAATTAATGACATTAAAAAAAATTAAATACGAATAAATTTTTAGTCAGTAATGCTGAAAACATAGATAACTCAACAAAATTAATTTACTGAAAATATATTTTAAAAAAAAACTTGAGAACAAAATGAAAATTAAAAAAACAATCTATAAATCTATAATATTATAAAAAAGTGAAAACATATAACTTATCTATCAGCATCTAATAAAAAATACTAATTTTTTTTTCTTTTTTGACAGAGCACTATCAATAATTTTATCTAAACCAACGTATAATAATTTCAATCAAATTCACAAACAATCATACAATTGAATATCAATTGCTTTTTATCGGTGACTAAAGCATCTCGTAGGTTTCCAATAACATCATTGATGCTATTGTCATTGGTAATAGCTGATGAAATCTGTCGATCAAGGATATCGTGTTCAACAATTTCATTTGATTTATCAATATATATAGATTTCCATCTTAGATCACCAACAGTCATATCATCATTGATCAGATAGAATTTTAGTTAATGAGAAATTGTTTCATTAACCATTTTTCTGATCGATATTGTTCCTCGAAAAGGTCCCTTTAGCGATTTTTTTTCCAAGTCCTCAAATTGTTTTTAATGTTCTCTGAGAGCATAAATTGTGCAGATATTTCTTAACATCAAGGTCGATTAATAGTCAAATCCAATGACGAGGAAGCATAGAGAAGCGTGTTTAAACTTCTTTTAAAGGTATCAAGAAATATTTGTACATGGGAGGTCACAATGTTCTTATAGAAATATAACATTCTCACGGCACATCATATTTGAATGTTCTTAGGGATTAAGGTTACAATGACACATCATATTGTTCATCTTGTATTCTTTATCTTACTTTGCTTTCCATATATGATGCCAATAAGATGATATCTTTATTACTCTTCTCTAACCTCTAAATCTTTCTTAAAAAATTAAGTTGAAATATAGATGGTGTTGAAATAGTAGTTTTAGTAGTAATGTGATATAAAAGTAAGCATGAGAAGAACCGTGGATGAATCTCAAACCATGAATGTTGTGTTTTTTATATCGCAAGTGTACGATATCGTAATAAGTAATATATTGGACATTTGAGTCTGGATTATCGTTCCCA